TGGTAGGGTAGGGTTAGGGTAAGAAGGACGTAGGGTAGGGTAGGGTAGGGTACGCTGGGCGTAGGGTAGGGTAGGGCCAGGGTACGAGAGGCGTAGGGTAGGGTACGGTCAGGGTACGGGTGGCGTAGGGTAGGGTAGGGTCAGGGTATCGAAATTCTCGCAGGGTAGGGTATAGGGTACGAAAAAGTTGTACCCTGCAGGACTCTACTAGGTAAGCATAGTATCCATTAATGGTTTTATTATGAATAAAAACTTTGAGCATCCTCAATCACCTATAAAAGAACTCAGTCAGATAGGCTGAAATAGGGTGAAATTATTCAAATTTTTTATCGTAAAGATATTTATGATTCACCCTATATAATAATTTTCACGGTATCATCATCGTCCATATTAATGTCAATATACGCCAAGCCATCTCAACAATTGATTTCAAACGAGCATTGTTTGAACCAATTCAATAGTGCACAAAAGCTTTCGATTGCAATTTAGTTGTTAAAAGTGAAGATTCACTTTTCAGCGTTGTTAGCAAATTCGAAAAGTTATCTGCAGATTGTTATAATGTATCCTTGTCTAGCCATAGCTATCCGTTTTGTGTTCATGATGGTCTATGTATCTTGACCTTTTCTCTCCATTCGTATCTCTTTTTTTCGTCTCGCTTTCTTTCCCATTGGTCACCGCGGTAATGCCAAATATATATCTGAACGTATATATAGGATCACCACTTCTGACGACCAATGATGAGAGGATCAGTGTATGTATGTGTGGCTCTTGTCTGCCTCGAAATGTCGACCGTTTATCTGATAACTTAGCCTTTGTTTCTCTTTGTCTGTCTTTCTTCCTCTCCTTCATTCGATCTTTATTCTTTTCATAACTCCTTCTTCGTCTTCTAACAACAAGTTCGAATGATTACATCGTGGTGCAAGTTGCTGACCGACGCCTTGAGTAAGTAAAAAGAATCTTGGAAGCACATCGTTAGCAACACAATGACAGATAAAGACATGGATCAAAAGTTTAACAATGTTTACAGATCTAGTAAGGATTGTCCCTTCACAGTGTGCATCCACAACAGAGTATACTTTCCAGCAGTATACGACGGCGCCGAATTGGTGGCTTCAATTCCTCAGCATCCCAACAGCCAAGCAACTTTTCATATAGGTGAATAATAGACGATACAAATGCAGGATCGGTGTTGTGTGTTTATTTCTTTTTTACTTCCTTTTTTTTTCTTCTCATTGTACATGTCTTGTCGTTTTTCTCAGTAATCGCGAAAAGAAGACTCATGATATCTTTTAACAATTTTCATTGACAACAATCGATCTGAATACGGGGAAAGATGCGACGAACTCGATCCAATGTAAAAATTTTGGTTTATAGCATTTTCGATCAAACTAGCGTAGTAATTCCCGTTAAGCGTACTTCCTTCCGCTTTTCACGATTATATCAAAAATGGATGCATGTATTCAATTTGAATTTCGTGGTTTACCAATGCCATTCGACTATATTGATGTGTATCTCAGCGGTTAGTCTATGAAAATTTGTTTCTATGCATAAGATTATCACTGGTTCTGCTCGCTATTGTCCTCAGTTTTTAGATGAGTATTAATCTTGATGGTAAAATGATTTGTGCTGAGGCAGTATACCACGAGAGTGAGGGTAAATGTTACACACGTCTCCCGTGAGCAGACATTCACATCCACACTTCGTCAACATATTAAATTCTATTAATGAATAAGAAAAGGAAGTTTTTATTGGCTTTAAAGGCACTATATTTCACTTCGCACACTTCAAGTTCTTATATGATTGATGTTTTCCTAACCAAAAATAATGATTATTATCATTACTAAGTATAATACAATTCGAACTATTGAATATAGTCTGTTCCTTTTGTAACCATGCCATATCAATTAACGGTTTTGCTTTTCCCGAAATATTGACATGTAAACTTTGTAGTTGAGACATATTTTCTAAAATCAAACCAATTGTATCGTTTTGTGATTGAATACATAAAGATAAATGTTGACATTTCGAGGAAAAAACCCGAATAATTTGTTGAATTTCATGATTATTTATATATTGTGATCGTGCGTATCTTCCACATAATTTTAAAGAGATAATCTTACGAGATAGATGATCACATATAGAAACATTATTCCAATGTTCTGTCGCTATCTGTAAAATTCTCTTTTCTGCAACCAACGAATGTAAGTGAGGTGCATTTTTCAATATATGAAGAAAGTTTTCTGGTGACATCGTTGTAGGACAATTCATCTCTAAATATTGTAGTTTACTCAATACATGCATCCATTTAATTGAATCAAAATCATTATAAATAGTCAAATTAATCACTCCGTTTCTATGGAAGTTTTCATCAGGTTCAGAAGATTTATTTAGGACTTGTAGTGTTTTGACATTTGAGAATAGATTAGTGTAGAAATCATTGTTATAATCATCCAATAAAGTTGAAATAGTTTTGATGTTAGTACCTTTCAAAGCTGTATAGGTTTCGAAAGGAAATGGTAGTGAGTAGAGTAGTGCACCGCTACGATCAGATATATCACAACGAATAAACCATTTCCTTTCCAGTATATAGAACGGTGTGGAGAATGACACTATGGCTTCATCCAATTGATAAGGTGATTGCAATGAATATTCGAAGTTAAAATAAAATTTGAAGATTTTTAATAATGGAAGTGATGAACGAATTAAGGTCTCCCACATTTGACCATTAGGAGGTATTCTTGCTCTTTGTATTTGATAGATTTCAAGAGTATTTAGTAATGACAAATGAACAAGTGAACGTTGTATAAAATTCCAACATTCTTCGTAATCGAAGATAACTCTAAGATGTCTTAATGTTGATGGCCATGGTAGATCGTTTCTAAACCAATGACAATTTTCTATTGTATATTCAATACTTTCAAGTTGAGAAAAATTCTAAAAAAATAATAAAGAAAATGATTCAATTTTCTGTATTTTTAAATTTACTTTTATCCAATCGATATGAGAACAGGCACCGAAAACAAGTTTTTTCAGATTTGGAAGATCAAGTTGAGGCATTGTTTCACCACATAGAGATTTAATTGTTAATGAAACAAGAGTTTTTAAAGATGAAAGTTGGGATAAAATAGTGCATGTCTTTCGAAAGTCTAAATTTGAAATGACTAATGATTGTAATAGAGGAAAATCATTGATTAAAGAATAAACTTGACAAAAGTATTCGACA